AAAAGTCCCGCGCTTCTTTGCGCAAGACTTTTGAATATTGGTTGGAAGAATGGACTTGATACAAATGAGATGTCTCGCACTTTGCATCTTTGCGCGGGACTTTTAAATACAGTATTGGTTGGAAGAATAGACGTGATAAAATGAGAAATAGCATGATATTGAAGAGAAATAGCCTCACGACATTAAATATAAAWATCTTTTTACAGTACCATATGAAAGAAACAAAGGTACAACCTGTAAATTCTTACCAATTGACCACRACCAGATTTTTTTAATACAACACCATGCTATAAGCAATCCGAGCTTAACTCCAGTTGCCACCAGCAAGTGGTGACAAGACTTTGGAGGCGTTGTAACTATCACGTGCTTTTTTACAGGATCAAGAGGGGGAACMGTACTATTTTTGTTTCAGTGCTATCGAAACGCCAGTGTCTTGTCTCATAAATTGGAATTTCCAACCACAAAAGAAACCGATATTTTGTGATTTCTTTTGTTCGCAAAAGCTCAATCATCAGCTACCACCAGTAGATACAATCATGACATCCGAAAAATCCGTGGATGAAGAGAAGAAGGACGTGCACTCTTCTTCTGCTGTCGAGGACGTGCATTCTTCTTCCGCTGTCGAGGGCGAGAAAATGCAAATTTATCCCAAGGATTGTTTTTCTCTGCTTCGAAAAGGCCATTTGTTTTATGGATTCCTTGTTCTTCTTTTACAGATTCTTATCTATCTTGTGTTTCTTGGTTTTGCGGCAGCGTTTGATACGTATGCAGATTATATTGAGGATCAGGGTGATTTGGATTGGTGGCACACCCACGATGAAGGCTGGGCAACTACGGCCAATGATAAAAGGGTAGCCCTAAGGCCGTTTTGGTTTCAAAAAAATGTTACTCTTGGTCTCAACTAYGCTAGATTTTTTGCAATGATAGGATACATTCTCGTCCCAGAAGCGGGGCTTGCAGATCTGATCAAAGCAATTCACCAGAGGCGTGCCAGTGGCTGCTGCACCATGGATCGGTTTGTATCTATCTTCAGATTCGTTCACGCCATTTTAGCAATATATACAGTTGCAGTTTTGATCATGACCTCGGACCAGAGTGTTGAAGTGTTTTTGAATTTTGCAGCAATGAATTTTGTTTCTGAACTTGACGAAAAAGCCTTTGATTTGGCCCTTGAAGGAGTCTTTGGCGAAGGGTTGAAAATCGACGCAGAGCACATTGTTGATGGCGAAAGTACCCTCAACGGAAAAAAAATCACGTCGGAAATGGTCAAGAAAAATGAGAAAGATAAAAAACATGCTCATTGGATTGGTATGGCTTCTGTGGGTGTTTTCTTTTCTATCGCATATCTGTTGGATGTTTTAAATGGGGGTTGGACTATTCTTGATCCGTTGGTGGCTTTTTGCACGAATTTTGATGTCTGCTCCGATCCTATGAAAAACAGTGGACACGGTACAAACCCTCCTTCCTCAGCACCTGGCTAGTAGCAATCAACAACAGAAACTGCTGGAGTGCGTTTGCGCGTGACGACTAACATGAGCTAGTAAGTAGTGGTGGCGCAAACACCATGAACGGAGGGCAGGCTCTACACTTCTTTGCAGTAGTTTGTCTTTGGCTGAAAAAGGATGACGAGCGGGAGTACCACTGCATAGAAGTGTGGAATGCTGGTGTTGCGAGTTAGAAGGGTAGTCGTGATCACTTTCAACCCAGGACACCGTTAGAGCCTGTTAAGTTACTACACAGAACCAAGACCAAATTAGGAAGAACAAAGATTAAGAGTGATTCAATCATATCACTAGTAAGTGTAACAAGAATTTGGAATCCTCGCATCAATAAAGAGGATTTCCAAACACTAGTAGTAATCCTAAGAATTATATTTGTTAAACAAGCGAACACCGCCATACAATATTCCGACAAGAAGCTAGTAGTACTTGTTGAACAGAGTACAACTACTACTATAGTTGGTGGTTGTGATTGTTGTGAGAGTGTGGTGGTGGTCACTCATCGTTTCATGTCTGCTGTAACGAGAAGGTCATGCTTCATGCCGGTTTGTTGAAAATGGTGAGATCAATGACAATTTCCAATTTCCACCCATAAAAAAAACGCCGGTCATTTTTGTGGTGATTTTGGTGCAGTCTCGATTGGATTATTCACTATTATTCACTATCTACTCGTGATTTAGGCTCACACCTACCGGTACGACGCTAAAAACGGAACAAAAAACGGAACACAAAAATCGCGCAAGATACTTTCGTGCTGTAGACTCGAGGCCGGGCCGTGTGTGTTCCCCAGAGGTGGCAAGAAGCAACCATGAGAAAGAAAAGGCACAGGCCCAAGCGGCACAGAAAAAAGACAAGCGAGCCCGGGGACAACGACGATGGCAGTGCCGGGCAACAACGACAACAGCATTCCGTCGCAATCCTGTTCTGGATCGGAATGGGGCTCTTGTGGACCAACGGCAGGTCCTTTGTTTGGATCGAGAGCCCGGCACTGGAGTTCTTGCAGCAGCTTCCTTCCAAGGGAACCAGGCCTGCGCCGGTGGTTTCCCMGGGGAACGCGACCGTGGTGGCCGTAGATGTGGAGGCAGTGGATGCGTCGGTCGATGCGTCGGTGGCTACTGCAACGACGGAAACGACGGAACCATTCGCAAGGGCGGCAACGGCTCCGAACGGGAGCACCACAAACACCTCGTCCCCGCGGAGCACCACAAACGTGCTGCCCTCCCTGGAAGAATTGGTCGACAGCATCACGAATGCGACCCATCCCGAAAAAGACTATCCCTGYCCGGACGGAACCCTTCCCTTTGTGGACACGCCCCTCCCACCGGCAGAGACCCGCACAAAGTCGATCCCTACCGTGGTCCATGTTACGGCCAGGTCGCGGTGCGTCCCGCCAGCCATCTACCGCCACCTGGAGCACTGGCGGCTGGAGGGGCACGCCCTGTATTTCCACGACGATGCGGCCGTGTACCGCTTGATGAAGCACGCGATCCTCGACAATGCCCACCGGGGGCTGGTCCCCGGCCTCGAGGCGGTTCTCTCGTGCGCCACGGCCGGGGCGACCCTTTCGGACCTCTGGAGGTACACCCTGCTGGTGCGTGAGATGTTATGCTCTGCGCTGCGCTGTGTGTTGTGTTGTGCCCCGATGGGGCGGGGACGAAGGCAACGATTGTTTGTGGTCGCCGTACCTGCRTGGGATGCGCAGATCTTGCGGTGCCCGGCATTCGGTCCCCGTGGCTTATGTTCGTTCTCACGTGGCTGTCGTTCTTGGAACAATGCTCTGGGCTTTTTCCTTTTTTTTCCCTCCCCCTCACCGTTCGTTGTCTGCAACCACCCATCCACCCGGCTGTGGGCCTCTCTTCTGCGACCATCCAACGTCCGTCCACCCCGCAACGTGTCGTGGCGTGGCGTGTGCCGTCTCGGCCGCTCGCTGATTTTTTTTTGGTTCCTTTGAATTGCAGTGGTATTACGGAGGCATCTACACCGACCTGGACAACCTCCCAACGGGATTCAACGACGCCACGATCCAGCCGAGCGACGACGCCTTTTTTCCCCTGGAATCGCTGGGAATCGTTTCCCAGTACTTCATGGCCGTCTCCCCGCGTCACCCCTTGGCGCTGCTGGCACTAAAAACCGCGGTCCAGCACCTGCGCAAAACAAAGAACACCATGGTCAACCGACCCGACAAGACCACCGGACCCAACGCACTGAAAATCGCCTTCGTCCTGTTCCAGAGGGAGGTCGGCATCGACACCAACGGGTACGTGCCGGCGGGCGTCTACGAGGGGGCCCTCGACGAGAAGCTGCGGAAGCACCTGGAAAGCGGCCACCGCGGAGCCGCCGGGGGCGCAAACGACAACATCCACAACAACAACCACWACAGCAGCGACACCACCAGCGGCGAGCCCGCTGTTCCGGCGGCGGATTCGAAACGAACCATTCGGGTGGTGGGAAACCCCAAAAAGAGCAAAGAATACATACACCGTTCCGGGCTCGAGCACAGCCAGAAAATAAGGTACATGGAAAAGTTTGGCATGCCCCATTACCATTCCGACAGAAAGAGGAACAAGGGTGCAACGGAAAAGGTGTCGTGCGAGATGCACATCGAACGACAGGAGGAACGAATACGGGCGCTGAATCTCACCCTCCCAACCACGGCGGCACCGAACGACGACTGGTTTCCTCGGTACCAAAAAGCAAACTACTCCCCGGACGGAAAACTTTTGTAGGAGCTGCAATGCAATCCAATCCAATCCAATGCAATACTGAAATTCGTGTTGCCGTGCGCACCAGTCGTGGCCATGCGGGCTGCCGCCCGGCATTTGGAAACGATGGTGCGGTGTTAAGGGTTAGGAGGCAGTTTTCGGAGACGTGGTACGTACCGGTACTGTACCAATGGCAGCCTGCTGTACACCAATACCCAATGATAATCACGAACCAATCRCCAAAGAATAGCGTTGGCGGAGTTGATACAGAGAGCAAAATTTTCTCCGCTTCCTACGAGTCTCTTTTTCAGAGGAAAAATGCAACACGATTGAGGAAACAAACAATGGCTCCCTCGCTATCCTTGAAGTCAAGAGTCCCTAATCAACACAAAACAGTAAAGGTTCCATATTTAACATTGATGTCGTATTCGTACCACGCTAGCTATCGCAACTGAAGTTCAGTATAATGAACACGAGTTCGTATGGAACTACTTGAATGGAAAAGCGACCCGCACCGCGGTGCTACGTTGGCACTTATTGGCGTTCGGGGGGTCTTAGATCACTGAAATGGCCACACAGGCACATTCAGTTCCAGTCGCCGCCATAGCCATTCGCTGCACGAATGAGATTGTTTTCCGAGCACTGTTCCCTCACCCTTCCCCAGGCAGGTTTCAGAGCCAATTTTGTCCAAGCCCACGGCCTGAGAAGTTTCGTTGCAACAACACGAACAACCATCTAATCTTCTCGAAATTCGATGGCTTCTGACCCGACCGTCTCGCATTTCAATGTTGCGATTTGGAAATCAATTGCGGAAACACTCAGTTCGTTACCGATCCCCGCACCCGTGTCCCGACAGTCGTTAGTCAACCCTTGGCACTTCCTGCTGCTGTTTCGACTCCGTGTCGATGGATTTGTTGCCGCGTTTTTGTTTGTGCTAATATACCACGATGCCACAGGCACCATGCAGCAAACTTCACCAGGAATTCCGTTCCTAGTGACGATGAAACCCGAGCCCGCGACCCGTTGTGTCCCGGCAGCTGATCGTTCCGGTTTGTATCTTCTTCGTCGTAGAGCTCCATCAAAATTTCTAGGCAGGAAGCAATCCCGTTTTCTCTGTGGCGACGGTTGCCGACACAGTCCTCCGTTTCCGATAGGCTCTGATTCCAACCATCGCGAGAGCGGGATCCAGATCCCGCAAACTTCGATCCTGGCGCGGAGAGTCCGATCGCCACCACGCCGTGATCCGTAATCCATTCGGCCAGCCTGCGGCGATGTGGGTCCGCGCCTGGACCTCCGTGGAAGTGCAGCTCTTTCGAGACCCCGGGAGCCGGAAAGATCCCGTGCCCCCCGGGACAGGTGGTCCACCCCTCGTCCGGGGGGAGCCGCTGGCGCCGCGGCCCTCGGTGTGGCTCTGGTGGTGGTGCGCTCGTGCTTGGCGGCGGGGCGTAGTAGTAATCCCGGTCGCAATCCGTGTTGGGTTGCTCCTCGTCGAGTTCGGTAAGGAACCAGACGGACCTGCTTCCCCTGGAAGTGGGCCCGTTGCTCATGTCACATCGGCACAGGCTCACGGTCGTTCCAAGGGATGTCTTTTCGTACAAAAAAACGTTCCTGTTGCTGTTGCTGTTGCCGTTGCCGTTGGTGGTTGTGGTTGTGGTTGTATTTGTATTTATTGGGGGTCCATAGTAGCGATATCTACGCTGGTAGTGGACCTCTTCTTGCGATTGCGATTGCGATTGCGATTGCGATTGCGATTGCGATTGCGATTGCGATTGCGATTGCGATTGCGATTGCTTCCGATTCGGGCACGGGCCTTGGTCTCTGGTTGCTGCCGTCGGCGTGTTCCACAGGCACTCGGCCGACAGGACGTACCTCCCGTTGACCACTGGCGATCCCGCTCCGCTCACCACATACGAATAGGGTGGAGGAGTTAGCTGCTCCATCGTTTCGGCTATCATCGCTGTCAAGTGCTTCCACCCGAGGGTGCTTCGGGTTGCTATCTCCTCTCGCTGCCGTTGCTTTTGCCGCCCGCGCAGAGCTAGTATGCCACCCGTGGTCCATGAGGAGGGTGTGATCCAAACCAGTATGTGGCTTCTCCACCAATCGTAAAAGGACATCGTGTCCGCCGGAAAACCGTTCACCACGGAGGACATCCGATAGATGTTTAGCAGGCACCCGGTGATGATTTGATCCAGCTGGTCCGCCGATAGAAGGAAGGAAGTTTTTGTTTCTGATCTTGTTTCCGCTTTCGGTTCTGTTTCGTCGATGAATTCCATCATGGTTTTCGACAAGCGCACTATGCGCTTTGCCATTGAGCTATCGTCGTCGTCGTCGTCGCAACTGATTGGATTCTGGTTGACTTTGTCGATCTCCCATTGGGCTAGCTTCGAAAGGGTTTTGCAGAGGTCGTTCATTAGCAGCGTTTTGTGGTCATCGTCATCGTGAACGTGACCATGGTAGGAGTCGCAGCTGCAACCGTGATTGCAATCGTCGTGATGGYTCGTTGTTTCCATGGTCTTCATGGTCGCACCATCCCATAGATCGTGCAGTTGTTCCCGAATCTCACCGAGAATGGAAGCTGTACCATTCTTCGCCTTTTTTTCCCTGGCAAAAGATGTCACGTGCTGATTCATAAAACAAAGATCGTCCTTCGTCATCTGCTCAACACTAGTTTAGAATTTCGAAGTTCGGTGTCACACAATCAGTGGTTGAATGGCATCACTCTATTTTCGATACGACGTACTTGTCTAAGAAKTCGAGCCTGTTGTTATCTCATCGATTTTTCATTCGGGGGTAGGACGAGGGCAGTGTTTGTAGTGATTGCTTCGATGATTCAATGCTTCGTAACTACGAGTACCGACTCAAAACAAAACTTCGATGGCAGAAGAACAAGCAATAAATACGTACAACACTACCTACTTTTACAGTCCCATACCGGTACGTGCGGTACGTACCAGGTAACGTACTTCAGATTAAAAATTGCAGAACTACTAGAAACGTCGTGAGTTCCGAGTTCCGACCGGTGAGGAGAAAAGATGGAAACGGTAGGTTTTGGATCTTACATCATGAGTGTGAGCAGATCCACTAAATAGATCCACTAAGTAGACACCATGGGACGTTTCGTTCGACAATAATTCGATTTTTTTTCATTCTCCCGTTTCCATTTCCCCTCTCCCCCCCCTCCACGTACAAAAACTACCGAGTCCCTAAATAATTCGATTAGCGGTTGTCCTTACTACTGGAGAGATAAATTCAATGCTTACTGCTTGAGAATTACTGTTGGTGCTTRATGCTGGAACAACTCCATTCCTGCGTTACTAGTGGGAAAATTAAACTCAATCAGTTTGAAAATCAGCGCGATAAGTAAGAGAAGACAACCTCGTACTCGTACCGGTACGGGTACTCCTACTGGGTACTGGCAATTGTTGAATACGTTCTGTACCGGTACGTTCGTCGTCCCTTCTATTGGGACGTACGGTACGTACTAGTCGTAGGCCAAAATTTACGCATGATCTGAGCTCATTCACAGATTCTCCATTTGTGACTCCTTCGGGCTTAACCGGATTGTTAAGCGTAAGTGCGGTACGTACGGGGTGGTTAGCATCGAACGCACGTTCTCGTGCGTTACTCGTGCGTGTACTCGTACCCTCCCCTCTCCTCCAACCATGGCCAAATCACCCAGAGGCTTTGAAATTGATCAATCGATTTTCAAAGCATAGAGAAAGATAAGCACGGTCCAGTAGTTCACAAAAAACAAAAACAACGACCAACCCTGTTGCAGTGCTGCCGATTGCCTTCACAACAATGACGAGATCCAACTTCGCTATTTGCTTCTACTGCATTATTTTAGCTTCGGTCTCTGCTCTGGCCCTCACCAATGGATACAAAAAACGAATTTCGATCGTTACGGGTGCAAACGGATACGTCGGCAAAGAGGTTGTCAGCGTGCTCCTGAGCGACGCTGCCGAAGACGATTGCGACAACGAGATACTGTGCTTGGTGCGGCCCAATCGGATCGAGACCGAAACCGATTACTGGAAGCGAGTGCAGGGATCGTCCACGAGAGCGACCGTCAAGGTCCTTCCGTACGACATGCTCGACGGTGGCAAAACCATCACGGAGGCCCTCAACACCGCAATCCAGGGCAACGGAAGCGATACAAATATTTGTGTGTACCATATTGCTTCTGTGTTCGGTCCGAGTGAAGACCACATTGATACAGCCAAAGACAACGTGAAAGGGACCAAAGATTTGGTGGAAGCCCTGGCAAACTTTTCGAGGTTGGATTGCTGTCGTCTGGTGTTTACGTCTTCTATGGCCGCGGTCCGAGGAAGCGGCCAAACACCAAAGAACGGMGAGTATTACACCTACCATGACTGGAACACGCAATCCAAGCTAGAAGACGGCAACTGGGGTTCGAGCTATCAATGGTCAAAGGCGGAGTCCGAGCGCATAGCCTGGGAATTGGCCGAAGAAAGCAACATCCCCATGGTGACAATTTGCCCTTCGTTTGTCTTTGGGCCTCCAACAAGCGGTGCGGACGGAGAAGGTGATGTGAATCTATCTAGCTCGTTCTCCATCACACTCTTTGGGCAGTGGGTTCGTGGAGAATCACCCGTGCAAAGCCGACTCTTTGTCGACGTACGTGACGTGGCTAAGGCTCACGTTTTGGCAGGAAACCGACCCGAGGCCATCGGCCAGCGAATCATCGTTTCCACGGAAGCAAGGGTGCCGTCCCAAGAGATGGCCGAGATACTGGGAGAAGTGTGCAAAGAAACCGGACTGAGTGATCCGGAGAAAGTTTCTTTCGATGGCGACTTCAAGGGCGGAGCGATTCCGATAGGAACCCGCGAAGTCGAAGCCGCGAGTCGACTGAAGAATATTTTGGGACTGACCTTAGTTCCCGTGCAGGAAACGATTCGAGACATGGGTCGATCGCTGTTGCTTGCAGAGGAAAGTAAATAGAAAGACTCCATAGGCCGTGATTAATCGAGGAAAAAGCCAGTACGAACTGATTTTTATTACTAAAGCAGTGATTTGATCTCTGTACTTTAATGTGGAAATTATTTTCTTCAGTTCTTGGACCTAGCTACAGTTGTCATCATGAGTTCTCTCAGAAGCATTGTAGCGTAGCAACCCTTAGGTAAATCAAATGAAAGCTTCATGCTCTTGGAGGATGGGTCCGAAGCATCGATATTGGCAATTAGATTCCCAGGACGTATGATGAGCTTGCGGTAGTCTCCTTTTGCCGTCGCCTCAGGGACTGATTCCTTCTCAAATTTGACTCCATCCTCTTCTAGTAGAGTTCGATACAATTCACCGATCTCGTGTTGTGGATAACGAACATTGTACCCAGGGAGAGGCAAGACTACCTGAGATATTCCAATTGGCGGAACCTCGTTGCCTTGGACAACTTTAACGCTGTCTCGGCGATTGTCATTATGTTCGAAGTACAAGTCACCCTTGACAACTTTGTCTCCGTATAATTTTATTCTCTGCGACGCAGCTCGATTAAAAATAAGCGACTGGTAAGCATTTATGTAAAAAGTTCTCATGTTGTAGCTCAAAAATCGAATAGCTTCGAGTGGGTTATCTGGATATCTATTCAATCCTCGGAGTACTGCCCTCTCGCGTGGCATAATATCAGCTCTCTGAAAGGCTTTCAGTGTTATAGAAGGATTTCCATTGCTATCTTTCCACGCTTTGCGCACCCTTGCTACATCATCTTGCTCGTGATGTCGTGTGCCCTCCATGAGCAATTTAATCGCTCCCATGAAATCCTGGCGTAGCATAGAATGGCCTATCTCGAATGCTCGAACACCAACATCATTTGAATCCCCCGGTGCACCTACGCGTTGTTCTCCATAAAAGTTGATGAAGCCGTGCTCTCTGATCCGTTCGACCATTTGGTCAATATGTTCATTGTCGCATTCAATAAAACATTCCTTCGCTGGCTCTATCATACCGTTGCCATTACAAGCATTTTCTTCTATTCGATCTAATTTAATCCGTTTCAGGTTCCGGACCACTATTTCAAATTGGTTCCCCTCCAACCCTCCAACGTTTAGAAAGAAATCAACGTTTGAGCACAAGATTTTCAACTCGACGTTGCTCTTCCCTGGTGCCAGAAACCGATTAATATCTCTTTGGACACGTTGCACTGTCGTATTACGAAGAGTTATAAATTGGTAGGTGATTGCTTGCATATCTTTTAAAATGACGAAGAGAAGAAAAGATCTGTCGCGATAAGGTTGGGATTCAAACAAAAATGCGGTGCGTCAAATTACTTTCTCTTACCTTTTATTCCGGCAAAGCCGATATCCGCTTGTCGACATCTCAACTTCTTTGTTAAGATCTGGATTGCTGTTAAGTGTTCTTTGTTAATCTTCTTCAAAACACAAAGTAAATTTTTGTTGCTGTTGTAGTTTGAGGTCTTACCCCTTCCATCATCGGAACGTTTTCGTTTGTTGTTCTTTCTCACTCCTTTCCTCAGCGCTTGCTTTTTCCAAGTCACTATGAGGTCAATTGGAGCAGATTCTACAGGTTCGGGAGGGGAGTTTTCGCTTGCATCTTGTTTCGCGCTTTGCACCGATTTTGAAGAATTTCTATCTTTTGATCCTTGATGACGGACGCTCGACTCAAAATGTTTGTTCTTCGTGGCTAAGATATGGTGCACTTTCCGCCGATCGTCCTTCGATATACCCGGTCGAAGCTGGAGAGTGACAGATGGTGTACCTGCAATTACGTCGGTCCTGTTGTTGGATTTCGAGCGCGGTGATGCTCCCTCGAAGCCTCGGTTTCGGAAGAGTAAGAGTTGCGTCAAATCATTTCGTGGGCTGTGAAGATATTGTACTAAATCGTCAAAACACTCCTCAACTGTAACCCTAATCCAATGGTGAGTGCTCCGATCTCTTTTATTATCATCTATCGATTGCAAAGTTGGTGCCTTGTGATCATTGTGGCAATGCGTAATGCTCTCGGTCTGAAGAAAGGGATATTTAATTCTTATAGCTCGATGAAAAGCCTTTTTCTGAGCTCTCATCTCTGCATTTTCATCAGCAACGTTCATGGTAGTGGCATCGTTGGTGTCAGCTGATGCTCCTGAGGAATTTTTGGTGCCATCTGTCACCGATGGAAGGAGTGGAGGGATCCAAACTTCGTTGCTCTCAWTTGTACTGATAGTTACTTGGTTTGCGGTAGCTCTTGCTTCGGTATCGCAACGACTAATAGGAATCCGACTGATACTTTTCAAGTTTAAGTCCTCGATATTTTTAAGCAATGATGATTTTGAATAATCCGGCGTGGCCACTTTTTCCAAGTATCTCTGAATTGTTTTCTCCAAAGATATTTCGGGCGAGAGACTGGTACCACCCTGAGTGGTTGCAACTACACTTTCCTCGGTTGGATATGAAACATACATTTCTCCATCTAGTGGGCCGTTCGTTTGTCTCCTTTCCTTTCCTGTTCTCCGGTCAACGTGATCTTTTTTGGCTTCTTTCGATTGGTTGCAATCGGACGGCAATACTATTGTTGGCATAGAGTGCATGTTTGCAATTCGCAGTTGGTCGCCTGGCGTTTCCAATGTATTCTTAGAACGAGATATGATTTTTGAAATCATCTCGTTGTCCTTAGGTAGAATCTCTCGTACAATAAAATCATCTGGTATCTCTTTTATTACACCTACAATCTCGCAGGAGGGCAATGACGGTGAGAGATGAGATTCCGCGTGTGATGATGGTTGATAGTCGGACGGAGACGAGATGAAACCTTCTATTCCGATAGTGGAATAAGAACGTACGCCCACCATGGGTTCAGTCACTAATACAATGTTCTGCTCTTGTTCAGATGTTCATCATATCTGTCTTCCGCGGTGACTGTGGTACCTTCCGCAGTATCACGAGAAGTCGAACGATGGATTTACTTGTCAAGGCTTTTATTGAATCTTAGATCACACACAGTAGAAGGCACTATGATAGCGGATGCAAAACTATGGTACGTACGTTTAGTACAAATTACTTTTGCAAATTTCCTTCCCGCTGTTTTTTACTACTAGTTGATTGATTCCGAGGCGAGGATACGTACTACGTACGTACGGTACGTACCATTTACGACTGAAGTACTATGCGAAAAAAAAACAATTGAAATTGCATTAATTGAGGCGTTCCTAACTGCTCTTAGCCCAAGTTATTCTTGTAGCCTTGKTGTCTTTCCTTCTTCTTTTATTGCTCTTGGATTTGTGCCACGGGACATTTTGGGCCTTTCTTACAGTGGTAACATATGTATGTAGTGTCTTTGAGGTCTTGTGTCGTATGGATCTAAGTGGTCAGCTATTTGAACTTTCTATGTGTTTGCCAAAATTAGGATTTCTTGACTAGTAATGTGATTACTACTAGTAGTAGATCTATGGTGTGTAAATGCAACGGATACGTACGTACTGTATCGAAAAGTATACGTACGTACGATACRAAGCTCCGAAGAAAGGAATGAGGGATCATACCATTCCTACGTACCCATCGTAAGGTACGCTTCCTATGTATGTATCATAGGATGTATCGTAAGAGGTCCGAGGATCGTAAGAGGTCCGAGGATCGTAAGAGGTCTAAGATACTATTCAAGAATACCTCACGAAGAATAGAGATGTCATGAGTCCGGAACAGAGAAGGTTCATGTAGAATCMCTACCAGGTCTACATGAGCTTCTGATCAGAACTTCGGAATTCTCGTAAACGCGCTTGGTAATCTTCRAACAATTCTAATCTTATAATTCAATTTTCATACACACTTAACACCTACTACCAAGAGTACACGTAATCTTGTGCACAGTAATTACTAAGTGATTTTCGTGTATCGAAATTAAACAACCATTAAGAAAAACAACCAAAATATCACATCGACCATGGTGAAACCAAATAAGAACTCCACCAAACAACATCGATCCTGTCT